ATACAGTTTACAAAAGGTCACGAGGGAGCAATCGGTTTTCAATCTAACGTTACACTGTAAAGTTCGCTGCGTTCACCCCTCATCACACAACAGCTGTTTCCTCCAGCAAAAATCTAGCCCTTAACACATATGAACGCATACTTTATAAAACGATCATGCTGCTCTTTTCATTTGAAAAATTTATATTTAATATAAATCATATTACAGTGCATGTGGCATACCATACAGTCATTCACAGAACTGATTAAAGACAGTGACAGACAGCACTCATTTTAACTAAATATCAGAGTGATTGACAGAGATACAGTAGAAATATTATGTGTGGTTTTGTATTAAATATTGTTTTGTATTAAATAATGACCCAGATCGTGAAATACATTTATTAGCCTTAGAGTAAGGGAAGCACAACTCGGGAAATGAGAGCATCCGAGGAGCATGTGAATGCTATGTATATTTATTTTAAATATTTTTAATGTTCTTTTAATGTTTTTTTGTGGCTCTTTTTTTAAAGTATCGGTTCAGGCACCGGTACCATTTTAAAAGTATCGATTTGGCACCGGTATCGTAAAAAACCCAATCGATACCGAACCCTAACTGTAATAAATGTATTGTTCATTGTTTGTTCATGTTAGTTAATATATTAACTAATGGAACCTTATTGTAAAGTGTTACCCATTATTTTTATTAAAACTTGAGGATATTTTTTGTGTTTTCTTTTTGTTATATGAAGATCATATTAAAACTTTTTGGGAAAGCATCACATGCCTTCATTATTTATTTTTGCTGTTTTTCAAATGCCCTTTTATGTACAGATTTTGTTGTTAGACCCTTGCCCAGACCCAGATTTCAATGCTGGTCAATTTAATTTCAAAAGGTTTAAAATGTAATTTCCATCATAGAATGAATGATTGTTTGAGGTGTGGTGGAAATGACACATTGATGCATGTAGTTCAACATTGTTAGCAGACTAGTTTGTACAGTGAGTTGTACATTCTTAAAGGCCACAGGGCCATAGAGTGCCCATAGTTGACGAAACATCCATATGTGTATAACTATATTAAATAAAATATTGAACCTCAGGTCTCCGGTGTATTGCATGTACAGCTAAAGGTCAGAAAGAAGGTGATGAGAGAGCATGTGTGTATGTGAAAGTGCAAGGAGAGGAAAGAGAAGGATGGATAAACAATCTGGGGTGGCACTTTGGCAAGCGGCAGTCACCCAGGCTTGACAGGGCTAGAGAACAGTAGCCGTGGCAAACGGTACATCACTGCATTGCGTCTCATCAAAGCTGACAGGAGCGGGGGAAGGAAAAAAAGGGAAAAGAAGAAGCCTGTCTATTACATGCAAAGGCCCAAAACTTCTCACCTTGTCGAAGGAGCTGTCTCTCTCTAGCTTTTCAACTGCCATGTAAAAGGCTCGCTTGTACGTCAAAATTCTTTGAAAAGCTGAGAAGTGACTTCTCGTTGACGTCCATACCCTATAGATTAATGCCGAGCGGAGAGCTCAGGAAGGTTGCTCTGGTCAAATATTATGACATCGAGGTTCAGATACAATCTCTGATGCCCCGCAATCTATTTTGAACTCCAGAGAGCAGCTAATGAAGGCAGCAGACAGAACTCACAGCCTAGCTCGCTCTGCTTTTACAATGATCAAGAAGCGATCTGTTAGCTTAAAATTCTGAACTGGGAAATTGCACCCCTGGGATCCCAGAGCAAAGAGTGCAGTACAGGGAAGAGTCGTATTTATGATGCACTGTGTGCTCCCAAGCCAGAAGAAGGACAGAGCGGTAAGACAGTGAGTGATCCTGGTTAACGTTATGTTTTCATAACCGGCAATTTAATAAAACAAGTTCCATTTGGTGTATGCAAGGATATCCCACTTTAGTGAATTTCTCACATGTAAAGACTGAAAAAGGAGCATGTGTCAACTCTCATGACGATGATTTTAATGACGATTCTCTTGCCCGACCATCTGACTGCCTGGCAATGAAATCCTAAAAAACCTGTGGTCAGGAGCCAAGAGTCTCTCTCTCTCTCTCTATTTCTCTCTCTCCCCTTTTGTCTAAAAACCAGTGGCTTTAGGCCTGGCCCTGTTTTAATGAGATTATCCAGAGTGAAGTGTCACTAAGTAGGATATAAAATGGAGGCCATTATCTGGCATTATTTCTGAGCAGCCTCCTCATCAATCTGCTTACCACCCACATAGTCACTACGGTGGGATTAGAACTCTGATTAGCAGGGGAGTGCTGCTTAAACACCTCTATGTCCTCTTTCTCTCTCCTCCTTTCTCTCTGGGCACTGTAAACAAAACAATAGCCCTTCTCACCCAGTGTTTCCAACTCTCAAATTGCCCTGAAACTGCAGCCTGACCTGATATAACTGCATCAAACAGACCTAAAGAAGCAATGATTTTAGTTTAAGACTTCATTTTTAATTTGATTTGTCCTTTTAAATATTCAACAGTGGAGTAAAAAGTTGCCATTTTTTGTGAAGATACATGGTTGTTGGTTTTGGACACCTTCAAAATGCTGAATATTCTAAAATGACTCATTAATTTTATTTTTAACATTATTTTCATTAAATTATTATAATTTAGTTTATTATTTAGTTGGTATTATGTAATTTTTTTAACATACAGTATTTAATATACACACAAATCATTAATGAATATATAATGCATTAATTATTTTGTGTAACAGACGCTGGAGTTTGGTTAGAATCCATGAGCGGAAGTTTATTAAAGGTCAAGGCTTTAAACAGATGTCGATAATCAGGCAGAGGGTCAAAGTCAGAGAAGCAAGCAGATCGTTCGTCATACACAGGGGCAGAGGCAGAGACAATAGTGGAAAGGCAGGCAATGAGTCCAAACACAAACATCAGTCCAATCAGGCGTCAGAGCAAAAGGGGCAGAGTACAAATACCGTGAGTCAAGAAGTCAGGCAGAATCATACACAGGAATCAATCAGGAACAGAGGAACTAGAACGCTTGGTAAGGCAGATAACTGGCAATACTTCGCAATCAGCCCATGGACTGGTCTCAGTTTATATGAGAGTCAAACAGGAAATGGAAGTAGAGGAAGTGGAGGGAGTGGAGCACGGTCAGTACTCGGGCGAGGGCTCCCTCTGCTGGCTTGGCGTTACATTTTGTGTGTGTGTGTGTGTGTGTGTGTGTATATATATATATATATATATATATATAGTCTATTCAGTTTTTTCTCAATAGCGATTAATTCTTGTAATTCATTTCATTAACATTTTTAATTAATTGACAGCTGAGTTAAAAGTTAATGACTCTTCCTCCCAAAGTTTTCCTTTTTAACCTATAATACCCAAGACATTGTGTCTCTTCTGTTTCCATTACACACACAATTCATTATGCAAATCAAATGCAGTTTTCTTTTCTGTTTTTTTTCTGTCCTTATTAGTACCTGTGATTTTGTCTCGAACTAGCTTGCAGGACTCAATCTCGCCAATGCTGCCGAAGAGGCTGCGGAACTCTTCCTGGGTCATGTTCTGGGGCAGGTAGTTGACAATGAGGTTTGTCTTGCTGTCGTCACTGGAGCCACCGGTCTGCATTGGCGAGGGGCAGCTGCGGCTGTTGCTGGAGGGACCGTTGGCCATGGCAGAGTTCGGCCCGTTCGTCACCTGAGGCTCCATGTTGCTGATTATCTGCAGACAGAAGAAGGGTTAAAGGATGTGACATCTGAAAAGTAAGCAGTTCAGTAAACAGCATATTTTAACACTGACATATCTGATTTCCTATATATCAAGTACTTGATAACAAAGAAAATTTGTGGAAGTTACTGACATTGCAAATAAAAGGGTTGGAATAATCTAGTGTATGTAACTGCAACTGCAACTATTAGCTGTGAAACCTCACAGACTGACTCTAAATAATACAATGCATGACACACTTACTGAAAAACTGTTTATGCATCTCTAGACTTTCAGTAGCTTTCTTCCACCCTCCCTCCCCCTCACTCTATCACTGATATTTTTGAGCTTGGCTGTGCATTTTGATGGTTGGCTCAACTTGACAGGGTAACAATGTGAGCCCTTCAGCATGGAGCGACTGTCATGGTGAACAGCGTTTGCCACTGGTTTAGCTGTGCGCTTTTAAGAGCAGGTGTTTGAAGAGAAGCTTGCTGGCCCTGGGGAAGTAGGAACAGAGGAGGCCCCAATCTGTGCTGCTTTTCAGCCTCAATCTTTTTATTTCAAGATTGTTCCACACCGAAGCTAAATGTATTCACCCATTTGCATAAAGGATGTTTGTGTGTGAGCTCAAGTGTGTTTAATTTTGTCACCCGACTCTATTTGAGGGGGCTGGGTGACATCTAGAATCGTGTCATATTCTGACTGTCACGAAGGTTGAAGATACGAGTGTGAGTGAGCGTGTGTGAGAGAGAGCAGATTAGTGGGCATATCTTCATGGTTGCATGAAGCAACACTCCATGAGATCTTCTCAGGGGAAAAAACAACAGCTATTCATGTCAGTCAGTGGTGCATGTTAAAAACAAATTTCGCTTTAGCTTTACACCTTTTATAACACTAGCCTGACCTTCTCCGACTGTCTGGACAGCCATGGTGAGGCCTAAAACTGTGTCCTAACCAGACTTGACTGACAAAGCAACACTAATTTTTTTTTTTTTTATGTTTGGTAGCCCCACCCATGCCGAAATATTACTGGAACAAAATCTTGCTTCTTAATGCATATTAAACATGGAGGAGGAAAGACTGAAAGTCATAATGGCTATGGGTGATTTGTGTTTTCAGTTTTGTTTTTTTGCATTCAGTGTATACAGAAAAATTGCAAGTTGCTCAAATCTTGTCACATTAAGTCTGGTGTAACAACAGTACTGTGTGTATCAGTGTTTTAGGAAAATTCAATGAGGTCTTTCATTGTCAGACAAAAGTCTCAGACCAAAAATAAGATAGAAAACTAAAAATAAATAAGAATTAAAACAGCAAGCATGACCTGATTATAGCTCGCTCTAAGCTGATTCTGTAAGTCAACCATGTTTAATATTAATTTTCTCTTCCTCTCTGACTGGATGTGGCGTAATTCAGATCAAGATCTGCACTAAGAGGGTGAAGGAAAAGCGCTAATGTTTCCTGCTGATAGATTCAAGAGTGGAAAATAATAGAGATCTAAGCTGAAATTCAGCTGCACTTATTTTTAGCTCTTTAAGAAAAAATACTCTGTATCTGCACTCTGAAGTTCGACTCTCTTTTATCAAAGTGGGCATATTTAGAAAGGTTAAAAATTTTTCCCCATCTGACACCACGCTAGTGTTTGCACTTGGGAGTATTTTTGAGAAACACACAGGCACAGTAAAGAGGATGCTAAAAACAAAGCTATTCAACTGCGTATGATACGAAGCCATAAAAATATCTGCAGCATTTCTCTGCTCCCCTAAATGATCTTTAAAGTCAATGTGAAATCAAAACTGACCCTATTTACTTTCTTAATGCATGTTTGGGTCTTACTGAATGATTCATTGGTGTGTATGTATCCATGTACAGTATACTGTATATATGTTATATGTGTGTGTGTATTAATATATGTTTCACTCTGATTCTCTAAAATGGTTACAAAAAGGGCAGATGCAGTTGCATTCCCCCTTTTCTGGATCAACCGCTGTGCCTCCATTTTTAGTCTTTGTATATGTTAAAATTTTTTCGATGTGACAAATAGAAAAAAAAGCTGCTGGCAGCCCATAGGAGGCTCATCTGCAAAGCTCTCAAGATATGCATGTAAATGGATCCTGTTCCGTACTTCTCTGCGGCAAAAAGGGATGGAGCGACACAAAGGGACAAAATAGCCATCGCCACAGCAGGTCTTGATGGATGTGTGTGTATGTGTTTATTTCTTGGTGTTTTCATGTGTGCATGAGTGAGGGGAGAGTGAGGGGGGGGGAATGCTCAAACCTCATGGGATGAGAGCTTTGAATATTCCAGAGAAGGAACAGATGAAAGTGGACACCTTTCATTCTGATTCCAGGGACCTTGTTGTGTCTCGATGGCCAATTAAAGACCTGTCCTTCCATTGTGACACTAGCTCTTATATGCTGTCTTATTATTTTTCTGTAGCTGAACTCCCCTCGTTGTCATACTGAGAATTGTTCCTTTACACACTCACTATTGCTGGACATTCGCCCTAGCAGATTGGTCAGTTGGTCCCTCCAACTCCAACAATATTTTTCCCTCCTTTCCTTAACTACTATTCCTGAATAGTTAAAGATTAGATTTGAATGTAAAATTGGCCATTAAAAATAACCAACCAAATAAACAAAACAAGGAAACTCTTTGCTTTGTGTTGCCTAGAAATCTGTCAATAATTAATCAGGAGGGAGTTTCAAGAGTGCTGATATACAACACTGGGACTTTTTGCTGTATGTGAGGATTTTTAAATGACTCTTTCTTCAGGTTACATCATTGTGCCAGTAGATGGCAATAAGAATTGATTGTCTTAATGAGTGATTCACTGAGGCAACTGAGTCATTGTATCATTCACTCAAGTGATTTGTTCAAAAAGTTGTTCTGTTAAAGAACTATTAAAATATTACATATATTAAAATAGGCTACTATATATTTATAATACATATTTTTTATATAAATTAATTTTTTAAAAACATTTTTCAAACTAAATTCATGTGTCATTCTTTCTGTAGAATATACAGTCCCTGATATGTGAACCCCTGTTAAATTGTGCATTTTATCTCAGGTTGTATTCTTTATTGACCAACTGACCAATCAGCATCTACAACTTGAACTATCGGCTTTACTACACTTAATGTGTGAAGTAGAATAGCTTTTAGGCCTGTCAACAAACTCGTAAAAGGGCAGAAAGTGATTTCTCAGAATACCTATTTCAGTGATATCTGCCAAGTGGTAGGGGCATTTAATGGGTGGCATTAAAAAATGTGTATACAGCACCTTTAACTGTGATAGTACAATAAACGTTTGTTGTATGGATGCTAGCTAAGGCAGAGCCTAGCTGGCTGTATCTGTTTGTGCTGTAGCTGTAGTAGGCAGGGAGACAGACAGACAGGCAAGGCGAGCAGACAGGCAGACATGCTAAGGCATCACAAAGGCCTTGGTGTCAGCCGAGGGACAGACATCATCTTCCTTTTGATTCAACTGAACAGTAGCCCCAGATTACACTCCTTTATTTTTTCAAACGCAATGGCAGATATGCCGACTGTTTCTGAATGCTGCTCGGCCCGGCTCAGGCTATGAGTGAGTATGTGTGTGTGAATGCAGGAAGGAAGAAGCTCTGCCACTCTGTCTTACATAAGTGCCTTAGAGGATGTCAGGACGGGGATAAAAATACAGGTTCAACCAGTCCAATGTCCCTGAGTCACGCAGAGCCAGAGGTGTGTGTTTGTGTGTTCACAGGACTGCAGATAGATGCATTTCGGTGTGTGTCGCTGATACCTGCCATTTCAACATGGCACTTTAATGGCCTTATTAGCTAAGATGATAAAATGTCAGGCTTCTATTCTGATGTGTGTTTTTACTGTTAATGCTCTCCAGTTATTACCGGAGACTTCTGATATTAGTACTCCCTCCTTTAGATGTCTGCTCTTATTTATGTGGCCCTGTAATTGCTAAATCTACGAGAAAACAACACTGGTAATGATCTTCAGGTTCAAGTAAAAGATAATTTTTTTCTTGCAGTCCAAATGCAAAATATATATAATTATATATATATTGTTTGTTGACATATATTATATATTTTTCCATACTAAAGTGATTCCTTCAGCATATATGCAATTTTTTTTTTTCTAATAGCATAAGACACTGCATTCACAGACATTATACATATCGACAATACAACATCCATCCATAATATGTTATCAGGTAACACCACTAATAACAATTACAGTAATAATACTAATAATAACTTTCATTTAAAACTTATTATTACGCCTGTTTCACTCTACCCCTGCACACAGCCTCCCTCTCATAGCACAACTTCATAGCAACAATATGGCTATTAATTGGGGTAAAAATGGCGGTTAGTGGGCAGCAGTCTCCTTACCATCTTTGGCTGTGTCAGCAGTCCCTTCTCAGCCCAGCCCTGGAGCTGCGGCAGGTCTGCCTGACGCCACTGAGTCTCTGTCGATCCCTACGGGAGGGGGGCAGGGTCAATATTCAAACATGCCCATTTTCTCCATACCAAACAAACACTCCTGACGGTCTCCAGGCACACTAAAACACACAGGTGGCTTTGATTTGGACTCGAAAGACAAAATAGTTTGAATTTAGTTGGGTTTTATATATGCTATATTGCAAATGGGTGCTCTAGGTGCATGCGGAGAACGGGTGATATATAGAATTGCCTATTTACTGACGAAACTGAAGAATGTTTTCACACTCCAGGCCGTAGACAAATTTGTGTAGGATATAGAAACTGCAAGTTGTGAAAAACAGCAAGCCTCCGACTGTAGATTTAATTTCTTGGGTTCGCCGACAAATCCAGCTTCGTAAACAAGACCTTAGAGGACCAATACAGAGGCTGCCACAATCACAGCTTGAGCCGTGGAGCTAACAGAGAAAACAGCCAATTTAGGAAAAGAGGGAGACTCTGAGCATGGCCTTTCCGTTGGATGGATGGAATAGAGGAGGAGTGTAATAGGAGGCATCTAGCATGACATGATGGAGGAGACACTTATGCATCGGAAGGGACGGAGGGGGGCTGGGGGGAGGGGCTTGGCGTCCTTTGCAGATCTTTAAAACGTTCGTGTAAGCGCCCAGGTGTCGGGATCAAGAGAAAAATGGACTGTCAGCGAAGGAGGGAGAGAAGAGAGTGAAGGGGTGGGCAGGTGGATTGCTGACAGCTCTTGGTGTTGTGTTATCTGGGGCATGGGTCTGTAATTTAAAAAAGAACCTCATGGGATTTTTTGTTTTGTTTTTTAATCTCATGTGCCACCTTGGTTTTAGTTTTAGTGAGGACCGCAGGGTGTAACAAAACACTTTTATTGTTCTGGTGATGAAACATCAGTGTACATTCAGCTTAAAGGTGATGTGTATTTGTTCTCTAATGAAACAACATATCTGCACGAACCAGTCCAGAGCTTTAGATCCACATGCTGAATCGTTCAAAAAATAAGAAGCAGGATGACACAGCCAAATGATGCATCAGAATTGCATTTGGTGCATCATTCACAGGAAGGTTTAAAAAGTGCTCGCTGTTACTCTGGTTACAGAGGACAGATCAATGTCCGTGGGTGACAGAAGGGAGAGGACATACTATAAATGAATTCATCTTCTGTTTTCACTGACCTTTTCTCAAAGCTCACAGGAATCAAAAATGGAATACGTAATAATGGAGAAATAGCTTTTTGTTTTCTCTCTCTTCCTTCTTTTTCTATGTTTTTTTTTGTTGAGAAAATAAAACTACTCAAACTACTGTTGTTCATAGCAATTAAACAATGTCAGCAAATGTAAATTAAATTAACGTTTGTTTCTTTAAATCATTTGTTAGATGTGCTGCAGAAGCTGCAGTTTGCAGGATGTAAGGTAAGTTATCTGAAGGCTTTTCTCTTGATATATTTACTTAGATTAACTCTTTGACTCTCTCTTTCTCTCTTTTACACACACATAAACAGAAACACACACACTAAATGTAGATGCTCAAAAATATACTGATGAGAAAGAATCACTTGATAATCTGCCATTTTTTTCTTCTACAAAATATCTACCAATATTAAATACCCCATAAAATCCAAATGAGAGTCTTGCGACTTTAGTCTATGTACACTATGTTTGCTTTGAGGCCATCTATATGCTAATGTTCTCCTAAACATTGACTAAATTAATTTTAGCACATATACGCATTTAAAAATATCTTTCTCTTCAGGGAAAATGGACTGATAATGTTTATGATATAACATGTTATAAAACATTCCTGTTTTCTGTTTAGGCTAATACGTTAACACATGACAGAAAACTGCAGTCGACGAATGGCTTCATGGGGTTTTTAAAAACGGAAGAAAACTGAATCTTGTATTAGCTTAGCATACGTCCGCCATTACCTTAACCACAGTAGCCAAGTCAAAAATAAATAAGTAAATTAAAATAAAACAGAGATGTCACCTCACCCTCTGAATTAAAAAAAAAAATCTCCCACTCTTTTCTTTTCTGCTCATGTGATGGTCAATAGATCAGCCACTTCAACCACGGCAGAATGTTATTGGTCAAACAACCCGTACTTAACCCCAAACAGGAACCACAATGGACTCGGAAGCATCTTGCACAATCATTTCCACACGCATACAGCCTGTATCACTCAACCTTGCGGCAGATAATTGACATCACAGAGGCACTGTTAAAACTAAGAGTGCTTGCCACAAAATGGAGGTCACCTTCAGCAGCTATATATATATATATATATATGTGTATGTATGATCTTGCTGTTTTTGCCACACACACTAATAGGGTTCAAAGCCAAGGAAAGGAGGATTTCATCTTTTTCTTCCACTATATTTTCTGTTTACTCATACCTCTCAGGTAGATGTAGCTGGGGAATAACCTTTTCCTTCATTCATTTTTTTTTTGTAGCTCCTTTTACAAAACAGCATGACTCTGGTAAGTAACCCTAGACTAAATCTACTAAAAAATTCTCGGATTGAGAAATAAATAAATTTGTACTTAATAAGAGTCTCTGGGCGGAGGGTACAAGTCTCCTTAATGTTCACAGAGGTGGCTGCACTTGCCCGAGATTCCAACCCTCCTGTGCACTGAACTGCTGGAGGGGATGTGAGCTGTCAGAACCCATTCAGGTACGCAGCTTCATACATTTCTTGTATCTTAACGTCAGGTCAGTAAAGTTCTCTGTGTGTATTGATTTTTATTTTTCTCTCCCCGTGTTTTGCGTGGGCTCCCCTCCTCAGTGGGACACCTCCTCCAGAGCCCTCGGGTCAGACTGCCACTCCGGCAGATCAATCAGGGCAGTAATGTGGGACGGCATGCACCAAGACTGCTCCGCTCCGTCACTATTGATCCGCATCTACTTTACCAAATAGATTTTTTCTTCTCCACCCTCCCTCCCTTCTCTCATTGAGTACCTCTCTCGCCCTCTTATTCTTCCTCTGAGGGACTTTCGAATAATAAATGCCTCAGTATAAAAGCAATTTTTCATTTAACTTTTGCTTGACACATTTTCTTCTTCCCTCTCTAGATGAAGTCTGGATTTATGTTATGCCAGATCGATAGAGGCTTCCCAGGCGGTTCTCCCATAATTTCTATGCCTTTCTTCCCTGGGTGATGGTGATGGGCCTGGTTCAGCAAGGATGTTAGGGGATAGCAGAGGACCACACCCTGATCACATTACCCCGTCATTAGAGCAAGCCTCATTTGATCAGTAATGAAGGCTGCTGTTCATTTGGCTCATGTCTTGTGTTCTTTCTTGGCGTCTGTTTCTCAGAGATGGGTTCCTTGCTCCCGTCTAAGAGTCCAATGAATATCTCAGAGGAATTACTCTCTGACCTTTTGCTGTTCAAAGGCGGGATTCGCTTCCTGGGGTGACTCAGGGTGACTATTTAATGACAGGCCTGTGGAGTAATAGGGGAGGTTGAATACAGGCCGCTGCAGAAACATAAACACCTGAATGCTGAAAGCCATGATCGCAGGGATTCACAAATTTATGATGCTTGAGCAGTTTTATGTTAATAAGGAATTAGGATTTAAAAGCAAAATATTTCTAAGCAGTTCAGTTTTAGGTCAGCACATTGTAAATACATTTAAAATGTTAAGTGATTTTCCTAGCTTCGGAGGATAGCCTACAAGATATAATAAAGCTCTTTTAACACTATCCAGCTTTTTTGTTTAGAATGTCAAAATTGAAATCATTTAAGCTTAAAAAAAAAAAAAAAAAATTCTCACTTAAATGCCTGGATGATGGAAAGATGATTGATTGTCTGAGGGTTTAATTGCTTGAAACCATATTCAGAGATATTAAATAATGAAAAATACATGAATACAGATTGACACAGCGAGCACTTGAAGTAAGGTAAAACATTTTGGCTCTAGATTCTTCTAGAAATCGAAGTGTTCATGTAAATTTCATGGAAAAATCTTGTAAGAAAAGAAAGGAAGGAAAAGGAGGAGATGAAAGGAAAAGAACTGGAAGGATGATAAGAGGCGAAAAAGAAGGAGAACATGTGAGGGTGTATGCAGCATCAGTGACACAGGCTGTTTTTCCTTTGGGCTACGGGTCTGGTGAAACACCTGTGTCTCTCCCTACCCACTCTCTCCAAATCTCGCAACGTTGACCTCATCAGCTGACCCCACTCTCTTTCTCTCACACTCTCTCTATCCACCATCGCTCCTTTGCAGTTTCCCCTCTCTCTCTCTCTCTGGATGAATGGCTGTATTTTCTCTCAGTGCGTGGGATCTCCTTGGCCTTAAATTAACCTCTCTCGCAGATCTTCTGTGGAGACGAATTAGCGCCCAACGTGACAGTGCAGCTAATGTGTTGGTGAGGGTTCAGCAGAGTTTTCAAATAAAAAAAGGCAAAAAAAAATTTGATGCTGTGCTCTTGAACTGCAATGCAAAAATGAATGTTTTCGTGAAGTTACACAACTGCGGTAAACGGTGTTAAAGATTAAAAAACAAACAAACGCGCTCATGATAGTACGAAAAAGTCAAATAGAGCTGGATTTCTCGACTGCATGTTTGCATAATCCACCATCTAGTCCATACTGCCACGGGGACGCTGGCTCCGTTAGCCGCTGGTAGCAGCCCAGCTCACTGCCAAGGCAAGCAGAAAATTGGTGAGCATCTTGATTCAGGGATGACACTTAAATTTGTGTGGCTCCAGTGACCAGTTATATCCTCAGGCTCCAGATGGAAATATGAGAGAGTTTGGCTTTCTGTCTGCTCCAGCACAGCCCAGAGGACTCACGTCCTTCAGGCAGTATGGGGTAAGTGGCCTGCTGGGCCTGGCTTTGTGCACACCCACATACACACACAGTGGTGTGCCACTGACATAGTCCAGCCCCTGGCCATCTCTGTGGTATCTCTCGTGGACACGAACGCTGCTTGTGACGCGGAGAGGCCTTGACTGTCAGACATGAGGCTCTTGTGTCATATTAAAACAGATTTAACGGGTGCGTATTTGGTGGA